GTCTTTATTATTTTGATATTATTGTGTAATTTTAGTAAATATATTAGTTAAAATGAGATTTTTTTTTTTTTTTTTTTTGTGCGTCATTCAGACGACAATTTATCCATCGCACACTGTAAATATTTTTAGGTAGAGAATTGATTGATTTGTATTTTTTTTTAATTTATTTTGCTAATTAACCCTTTATGGCTTATTTAAAGCCCAAACAGATTTCGAATTCTTTTTGCTTACAGTAACCCTTGTTCCAAAACCATCTAAATACTGACTTGGCTCGACATTCCTTAGCTCCGGTTATCGGACGAGACCAGTGTGTTTTGACCGTAAACTTAGACGGATTACCTTAAACGCGTCAAGAGCAAAGATCTGGGCTTAACAACAAAAATTAAGGTCTATAATACTGTTGTCATTTCAACTTGACTATATGGTTGCGAAACCTGGACTCTATTTCGTCGTGACATCCAGAAATTAGAGCGCTTTCTCCAGCAAAGGCTTCGTTTAATCTTAAATATCAAATTACTGTGATCGGAGTTCTGGAAAGAGCCAACAGTCAAAGCATCGAATCCCTGATCATTAAACGTCGTCTTCGATGGTCAGGACATTTTGCAAGAAGGGTCAGGGTTCTACCTCAAGTTTTATTTATTGAGCTCATTTCAGGGCAAAGATTGCCCTCTTCGAAGATACAAGGACTAACTCAAAGCAATAGTAAAAGCCACTGGACTTGAGCCTAAATCGTTTGTAACACAAACACAAACACAAGACCGTACCAACTGCCGTTGTTCCATCTTCAGAACCAGAAACTTCACAGAGAAAACGATGAAGTCAAACGACAAAAGAGAAAGGCTCAACAACATTGACCTCGTCCTCCATCAATATTACTATGCAGTCAATGCCATCAGCTCTTACATGGTTTACGTCGTCATCATCGCCATCATCGTAAAGGAAGCAATCAGGAAAGAAGTATTATATTCTTCGATACGAGATAAAGCCGACCACGATAGATGGAGAAATGAATTAGAATAAAATAAAAATAAAAAATAAAAATTAGAATGGAGGAAAAAGGAAAAGACAAAGGAAGAACGTGTTAAAGAGGAAGAGTAGAAAAAGAGAAAAAAAGAAATAAAAGAAAGAAGAGACGGAGAAGGAAACGAAATGGAGTGATAGAGAAAAGGAAACATAAGGAAAAAGAAAGAGAGGAACTTAGAACAAAACCTGTTTAACGAGCTTGTGGCAAGTATTAAGAGAAAACAGCAAAAAATCTTTACTAAGATCTACAAAGGACAGGAAATTGTGATGAGCCATGATTGCCAACGTCCTAAAGAGACAAGCCGCAGAGACAACGTCAAAAATGGCTGCGAAATGTTTTAAAACGAAACGAAATATTAACCCTGAAAATTGTGTTCTTCACTATGTTTTGAATCCTCTCAGGACGTAGGCGATCATGGCTCTTCATAATTATCAGTCCCTTTAAATAAACTTTCTCTTTCTGTTATTTCTGCTAAACTCTGTCGCGCCATCCATTTACTCTTTCTTTCGTTTTATGCGCTATGTTTTTTCAGGACGTAGCCGATCATGGCTCTCCACCTTCCTCTATCCCTTGCAGCTCTCAACAAGTTCCTTCCCTCTACTTCCTCCCCCAGACCACGTTCTGTTATCCACCTGCTCAAGCTCGCAAGGTATGTCACGCGCTGCTTGCTCTTGTCTCTCTTTCCCTCTATTCGACCCCTGAGTATCAGATTCCCCAGGCCCTCCTTCCTCATTATGTGTCCCAGAAACTTCAGCTGCCTCTTTTTGATGTTAAATACAAGCCTTCTCCTTGTTTGCAACCTCTCTAAGACCTCATCGTTGCTCACACGCTCGGTTCATGATATCCTTAACATCCTTCTGTAGAACCACGTCTCTGTCGCCTCGAGTCTCTTTTTCATCTTTGAGGAAATCGTCCAACGTTCGCTGTCGTAAAGAAGGACAGATGTCACGTAACAGTTCAGTATTCTTTTCTTTGTTATCAAAGAAATCCTTCTGTCTCGCAATACTCTGCCCAGCTTTTGGAATGTGTCTTTGGCCATTCCAATACATCTACGGATCTCAGTATCGCACTTACCTTCCTGTGTCAAAACGCTTCACAGATATTTAAACTTTCGCGTCTGCTTGATTCTAGTGTTCCCGACCTGCATATCGCATTTCGAACTCATCCTCCTACTGATGACCAAGCATTCTGTTTTCATATAGTTTATGCTTAGTCTCTTCTCACTCTCCGTCACTACCTTCTGTAGCTTCTTAATTATGCCACAGGCTGTTTTCTTTTGTCTCTCTTGCCTTCAATCTGTCCTAAGAGTATCAAGATCTCCCTCCTCATTAAGTTGCCTAGAAACCTCAACTGTCGCTTCCTGATGTTAAGTATAAGTTTCATTTTTGTTTCCATTTTCTCTAAAACCTCGCTCACATGTTTGGTCCATAGCATCCTCAACATCCTTCTGTAGAACCAATGAGTCGAAAACAATGGCTATCAGGTGTTCTTGAGAAGCACGGTAACCACTTCTGAAAGGATACATGTCATTATTAGGTTAAAACAAAACAAAAAAAAATGAATCAAATAAATCAAATATTTGTTCAAACATAACCAGAAAGACAAAAGAGGAAAATTAAGCCGCAGCTAAATGTCGAATATAGCACGATAAATGATAATTTTTAATCTTTTTAATTAAGAACTGTGTTATCATTCTAATAGGATAGAGAATATTGTCAATTTAATTACTTAATAGCACAAATTATTGTAAATTATAAATTAAACCGGAAAGATTCTTAAAATCCCCAAAATCAAAAAGCGTTTTTAATACAGACTCAGTGAGAATATTTTATCTCAGGTTTTTAGATCTATCTATTCTCGTTCATCAATCTCCCTCACTTTGTCTCTCAGTCTTTCTTTTTTTTTCTTTCCATATTTTATATATATATATATATATATATATATATATATAAATATAGTTTTAAGGTATACTACATTTATGGATTAAATTTCTCAGTATCAGAGATAGAGCGTATGTAAATCGAAAAGTGGATGTTGTGGGAAACATGAAGCGTCGACTGTGTATTTTATACTTCAGCGCCATCGTCAGGTCTGAGGATTGCGTTTAAGCATGAAACAAAATTCTGGCCTGAGCATAAGCGTCCAAGCATGAAAAAGACTGTTGCCGCTTGTTGTTGGCCTCAGTGATTCATATACAATCGATAATTCTGTTTCTCAATATTAAATGTTGTTTAATTTAAGACTATTTGTTTCGTTACTTTTGCTCACCTAAAAATGGGGGGATCTGATACAAAAGGTGATATGTTTTATCTAAATGTAAATACCAGGAAATACATGCTGAAATTCGGAACTCTGTCTCATATTCATCTGTTGACCTTAAAACCAACTGCTATCAGTGAAAAAAAATCCTCCAAATCCCCAAAAAACCCGCAAAAAGCAGATGTTACCTTGCCGTTCCACTGATTTAGGAGGAGACGATATATATATATATATATATATATATATATATATATATATATATATATATTAGGCAGCATATATTTTATATGAGATTAATGGCGAAATTAACAGTATTTTAATGCATACATTATGTTCTACTAGCGAAGTGATTTCGCCATTAATCGCATTAATATTGCTGATTGATTCTATGTATGATTATTTCTATAAATAAAAGTAATTAAAAGTAAATAAAAGCTGAAATATTTAAGATCGCGCGCATTAAAAGTGCTCAATATGAAGTTGGAAGACCAGACTTACAGATCTGTTTAATGTTTATAAAAATATGAATACTGACAAGAACATAACTGCGGTTTCGACCACACTGGTCTCCTTGGGTGGATTGTTCAGCAAATGAACGACATGCCAGGAAGAAAAAATATCTATAGCAACGTATAAGGAGAGCACTGAATTACTGAACGGGAGGTCAGAGATCATGACCAAGTGTAGATACGTTAAGAAGTTCAGCTTGGGGTTATTTGAACTCCGATAAAGTTAAAAGATTTATTCATTTATTTTTTACACTTCCTTCCACTATTTCCGGTTCCGAACGAAAATGCTTAAGTTGTTGAGCGCCATGTTGTTGATTTGCTGAACAAAACACCTGAGGAGGCCGCGGTTGTGTTCTGTCCAGCATTCATTTTTAAAACATTACACACACACACACACACACACACACACACACACACACACACACACACACACACACACACACACACACACACACACACACACATATATATATATATATATATATATATATAAAACATGTTTCATTAAAGACGACAGACTAGGTACTACGATAAAGATTGTAATTTAAATTTTCTTGTGTCGGACACAGAGAGTGTAGAAACTGCCTAAATGTTCTAAAAATTCCGAGTGCTTCCGGCTATATTTTTTAGGCATTATCAAGGATTATTTTATTTTTGATTTTTTAATTGGGTGTATAAATTGTGTGTATGTTTCTAGAGTTATAGAAATGTTTTATTTTCCGAACACAGCACATTGTGGCCGTGTTCGTAGTTAATATTAGTGAGTGTTCACTTTTTCTTTTTTATTATTAAGGCTTCCATTATTTTTAATCTTTTTTTACATGTGGATGAGGTTATTATGTTTGTATTTTCTACTAGTTTCGGATGGAGTGTCGTAAGTTTGTGTGTGTGTGTGTGTGTGTGTGTTTAAATGGGTTCTAATAGAGCTGTGGTCGAATAGGTATAACTTAAGGCGTCTGGATAGACATGTAGTCGTGCGACTGATATAATTATTTATAAATTCGGTTTGATCAGGAACACAGTTACTTAAGGGGCATTTGAAATCAGATAATGTTCGTTCGTTGTAATTTTGACTTTGTTGGTGTGATGCTATTTTTGAGGATAAGGTTATCTGTTTAAAGTTTTTTTGTAGTAGATACGTAATTTGAATTTTAGTTCGGGTCAATTGGGGTAATGTATTTCTTTATGGTATTTCTTGTTTGTAGCTG